TCCTAGGATGTGTATCATTTTCTAGAATATTTATCTTCATATACATAGAGAAAGAAAGGGAGAGAGATACATGTACACTAGAATAGATATAGTATATATAGGAAGAGAATTTTTTAAAAGAATTGGGTCATGTGATTGTATAGGCTTGGTGAGTCCAAAATCTGATGGGGGAGGCCAGCATGCAGGAGGCTTAGGAGAGGTGCAATTTAAATTCAAAGGCAGTCTTCTGATGAACCAGGAAGAGCTGATATTGTAGATGAAGGCTTAAGGCAATCTGCTGTCAGAATTTCCTTGCGCTTAGGGAGGCAAATCTTTTGTTCTGTTTAGACTTTCAATTGATTGGATGAGGCCAATCTACATTATGGAGGCCAATCTGCTTTACCCAAAGTCCACTGATTTGAATATAAATCTCATCCAAAAACACCCTTACAGAAACACCCAGAATAATATTTGCCCAAATATCTGGGCACCGTGGCTCAACAGAGTTGACACATAAAATTAACCATCATAACTCTGCCCCTTGTCAACTTAACACCCATATGCATCTCTTTAAATCATACTTAATCTCCATACTGAAATGTCTTTACCTGGTGTGTGACCAAACTTTCATTCATGAAAGGTCTGGGCCATTAGTAGTCTTGGCTGCACTGGGTTGTTTTCTATTGATTTTAATCACAGGACATGGTAATACTAAGACACCATAAGAGGTCTCCTGTCCATATTCTGGACAGATCATCTGACAGACCTTGACTGAGCACCTCTTTTCCAGGCACTGTTCTAAGCACTGGGATATAGTTGTGAATGATAGAGGCAATATCTGTGCTTTCAGGGAGCTTATTTAAAAGGAAATAGAGACACAACAAATAAAATTATTACTATTGGTAATAAATGCTATAAAGGAAATAAATCAGGTGATGTGATAGTTAATGAAAGTATACTTTATTTTTTAATGTTTTTTATTTTGTTACAGAGAGTGGGGAAGGGGCACAGAGAGAGGGGGAGAGAGGGAGAGGGAGAGGGAGAGAGAGAGAGAGAGAGAGTCCGTCCCAAGAAGGCTGTGTGCCATCAGTGAAGAGTCCAGTGCAGGGGCTGACCCCACGAACTGTGAGATTGTGACCTGAGCCAAAATCAAGAGCTGGACACTTAACCAACTGAGCAACCCAGGTACCCCTGGGTTGTGTACTATAGATGGCATGGTCAGAGAAGGTCTCACTGAATATGTGACAACTGAGGTGGAACATAAAATGGGAAAATGAGCCAGCCCACGAGAAGAGCTAGGGGAAAGGCATTCCAGGGAGAGGAAATGCCAATCACAAAAACCTGAGGCAGGAACTGAAAAAAGTCCAGAGCAGAAGATAGGAAACAAGGAGTAGTGTGGAGTGGTGAAGCTGGGGGTACACAAGAACCAGATCAAACATGGAAAGACCACTCTAAAAGCAAAGGGTTGGGGCGCCTGGGTGGCTTAGTCGGTTAAGCGTCCGACTTTCGCTTAGGTCATGATCTCGCGGTTCATGGGTTTGAGCCCTGCGTCGGGCTCTGTGCTGACTGCCAGCTCAGAGCCTGGAGCCTGTTTCAGTCTGTGACTCCCTCTCTCTCTGACCCTCCCCTGCTCACGCTGTCTCTCTCTCTCCTAGAAATAAATTAAAAAAAAAAAACATTAAAAAAATTACTTTAAAAAAAATAAATAAAAGCAAAGGGTTTTAAGTAGGCATGTTGCAGGATGTAATCAACCCTTTCAAGACTATCTTGGAAACTAGGTTAGAGGAGGTAATCAGGGGCCAAATTAAGCCAAGTAATGTTTAATTTAGGGTGAGAGATGATGGTAATTCAGACAAGCTAATTTGCCATGTTTTCAAGATAATCTTGAGGATGGATTCAAGACTTGGCAAAGGATTGCAGTAGAAGGTGAGGTAAGGAGGGGAGTTAAAGATGACTCTCAGATTGGAGTGCCTGGGTGGCTCAGGTGGTTAAGCCTCCAACTTTGGCTTATGTCATGATCTCACAGTTCGTGAGTTCAAGCCCTCCTTCGGGGTCTCTGCTGACAGCTCAGAGCCTGGAGCCTGCTTTGGATTCTGTGTGTGTCTCTCTCTCTGCCCCTCCCCTGCTCACACTCTGTCTTTGTCTCAAAAAATAAACATTTAAAAAAAAAAAAAGACGACTCTCAAGTTTTTGTTAACTGAGTGGATGGTGGTGCCATTTCCTGAGATAGAGAAGATGGAATGAAGAAGATGTTCCTGTGGGAAGAGGAAATAAAGAATTCCATTTGGCTATATTAAGCTTGAGATGGCTAACAAATGTTTTAGTATCAATATTTAACAGGTTATTTGGGTATATAATTCAGCACGTTATTGGGTATAAAATTCAAGGTTGAGGAAAGAGGCCTGAGTGAGTACAAATTTGGGAGTCGTCAGCATATAGATATGCCAGTTACTGACTGCCTCTTAGCTCCATATTCATCCTTCATTGCCTCTGCAAATCCTGGGTTGGGACTTTTGAATATTTTTTCCTTTGCCAATTAACATGATATTAAACTTTGTTAGTAGAGGACATTGGTGAGATATTGCCAAGAGGAAAGACGTTTTCCTTTCCGGTTCTGGTGTGATTGCTCCCAGCCCAGCCTCTCCAGCACCCAGCTCCTATAGTGCATGATAGCACAGAAGAAGACCAGCAGCTTTCCCCAGCACTTGCCTTCGGTGGTTTTTTAGTGGTGCTTCTGGCAGAACACCTCTCTGAACAGATTTTGCCAGCACCCTAAGGGTGGATTTCCAGCAAGTTCCACCAGCATAGCACCTCGGTGACTTCTCTGTCATTCAGTGAGCCATGGCTATGTCCTCTCCAAAAAGGTCTGCATATCAGCTCTGGGAGAAGGAGTGTTCTCTATCTCAGCCCTGCGGGGGAGTTGGCTGCTACTGTATGTGCTATTTCTATTATTTTTTATAGTTTGCTACTGCCAATCCCTCATTACTCCAATCCTATTATAATTAATAGTTATTTACGTTAAAGATATAAATTGTTCAGATAACGGCATGGCTTTTTTCTCTTGGCTAATACAAATGGCTCATTGCAATTCAGGCAAGATTATGCAAGGAGGAGGCAGCCTAGACTGATGTGTCAAATATAAGGTGCCAAGAATTCTATATGTTCTTTTTGATTTTCAATGGGTGGGATGTAACAGCACAGGGGATAGCAACAGGATGGAGCAGAAGCACCGGAGCTCAGTTTCCTCTCCTGTCACCCTAGTCAGCCACTGTAAGAGGATACAGTCCCTTTTTGTGTCCACTTTGGCAGGTGCTGGGTTTTGGCTGGCTTCTGCCGCATGTGGGTACCTACCTGCAGCTTGCAATCGCTTCTCAGTCAGCTACAACCAGAGCCAGAATTCCTCTGTTGGCCTCTTTCTTGGGGTCTTGCGAATGGAGCACCTTCTGAAGCTGAAATGTTTGAAAAACATGGCCTGCCCTCCCAGTGTGGACAAAGCTCCCAGTTTCACCTTGACTACTCCAGGCTCCTCTAGACAGACATCCCTTAAGGGGTTCTTTCACATGCCACCTCTAGACTAGAATCTGTTGGTTATACTGCAACTCTCACACCTACCAAGGTTGTTGGCCTGCCAATCCCAGCATCATGGAGCCGTAGAAACAAGGGACAGAGGGTGACCATGCTTGTGCCTCCTTCTGACCCCTACAAGGCACTGAAGTGTGTGTTGGTGGTATAAGGCCAGGATTGGAGAAAAGGGTTTTTAGCTATTGGAATTCCGGGTCCTTAGCGAGGATCAGGTGGAACCCCTTCCTAAAAAGACAGAATGATCAAGTGAGGAAGTTGGGGGTCATGAATGAATAGTTACTACCTATAATCCCAGAAGTTCTGGTGCAAAGTTGAGTATCTGGAGAGCCTTCCACCTAAGAAACATTACTTTCTTGTACATTATCATGAGAACACCTTGGTTGGACTATCTGGAAATTCTACCTCTGGATCTCAATCCACAAATCCAGGCTGTCCCAGGGGGGCGGAGGGTGCTGCTGCCATAAAGGAGTCAGGATCGCCATCTGAGCAGGGAACAGCACTGACAGTTCAAAATCAGGCAATAAACCCCATCTCAGTGGAATCCTCTAGGCTTAAGGTTCAGCCTATGTAAGTGGTGGAACATTCCTGCAGGTGACTACAGAGGAGATTCCTCAATGTTCTGCCTCTCTGAACCAAAGGAAATTTCCAAATAGAGCTGTATTTGGAAGTATGAAATTAGGCAATCGGGTGGAACATTGCCTGAATATGTCTGGAGACAGATACATTCTGCCTTGACTTCTGGGAGCACCTAGTGAATACTGCCATCCTCATTTCAGCCAATAGTGATGTGGTCAGCTCACCAGAGAAGTCCATATCTTTGTTAGCAAGCTCCTGGTGAACGTAGTTTCCAGAAAGAGTATTTTGCTTCTCTCTTCCAAGGGTAGAGGAGGGTGAAGCTAACTTATCTCTTCAGTGGGGGCCTGCAAGGTATCCTCTGCTACCACTGTGGAAGTAGATACAGAGCGTAAAGAGAAGGGCTGAAAAAAGGCTCTTCCAATCCTACCAGGCCAGATGAAAGAGCTGAACTGGAAAGTCAGGGACCTCAAGGCAAAGAGCACCTAACTGACTGAGAAGCTGGGGGCAGTGCTGGGCAAAGCATCGCTGCCAGGGCTGGCTGCCAAATGCTGGATGAGGCAGGGCCAGAAGTAGGCAACCAGCTTTAAAATGCCAAAGACAGGGGAGTCATGAGCAGGGGGAGGGGCGGTGGTGGTGGACGAGATGGGGAGATGAAGATGACATTGTGATAATAAGCACCCTTGACACATGCACACACTGATGGGTCCCAGGGGCAGAGAAAGCTGAGGTAGAGCTGCAGATAAGGATGTAGTGTTGAAAAATGCACTAATAAAGGCATTTATAGGGCTTTTAAACCTACTCATGATACCATTCAATCCCTTTACAAAAATAACAAAAGTATAAAGAAGATTTCAACTCAATTCTTATCAATTTCTTTTAACGGAGGTTGAGCTCCAAGTTTTGTGGTGCTTTTGGGGTTCTATTTCTTAATTTTATTAATAAAGGAGAGAAGTGTGTATACATCTATTCCAAAGACCTACTGGAGACAGACCATCTGGCAAGGTCACATAATACAGGGGGGGAAACAGGGTTTATAATACATTAGGAGAATCTTCTAAAAGTTATAATTTGTGGAAGGGTGATTCAGGTTGCTAGTGAGATCACAGAAGGGTGAGAAAGGTGCATCACAATCTGATTATGGGCCCCTTTTAAGAAGTATTTCTGGATGGTTCAAGATGGTTCAACTCGGTCTTTCCTGCAGTTGTGTTGGATTTTTTTTCCTGGTGCGTGATAGTTCTGTTTCCACTTAGTTCCAGGCGGTTGGAGGTGGTGGAATCCCAGGATCTTCAGATTATGTCATTGCTCAGGAAGGATAAGTGTGTGAAGGAAGAAGTCCTTAGCAATCGGGAATGGGCTGTCTTGTTCCTAAGGCTGAACTGTTACAGTGTGTATACGAGGGGGAGGGAGCTTTGTGCAGCGGGAGGTAAAAGCTTGGACATCAGATCTATGACTTTTGTAAAACAGTCAGTTTTTCCTTATATTTAGACTTTAGAAGAAGATATTCATCTAAGGGAGAAATGAGATACCTAATGTTCACAGCCAGTAAGATCATTGTAGAAACGACTGGAGAAGGGGAAGAAAAAAAGCACATAATTACCTTCGCTCAGAACAAGAACTACCTTCATTGTCATCCTATTCATATAGGTGCTTTATTTTAAAGTTATGTTAGAAATAAAGTTTAAAATTATGTTTAAAAAATAGAGAATGGTATAAAGTATATGAAAGGAAAAACAAAATGGTAGTCAAAGGACAGAAAGTTAAAGGTAAGTAAACACAAGCTTAAGCAACATGCTATAAGTTAAGCAAACCAAAATGAAAGGTAAGTAAAGCTAGCTAAGAGATCATCTTCAAAATGATGACAAAGGAACAAACAGGGAGGGTTGAGACCCAGACCTAAGGGCCATAAGCCTGAAGCCAGGTACACAGCACCCCCTGAGTCACACTAAAGAGCCTCACATTCAATTACTCTCTGGATGCCAGGGGTCCCTGAAGGAGGGCCGAGGTCTCCGGCACACTCCCCACAGGATCAGGCTGCATAGCGCATCTGTGTGGTTAGGCCTGGAGGCTGCAAGAGTCTGATTAACTCAGGGTGTCCCGAATCATTCTGCCACACCCCAGGTCCACACCCTGGGTCAGCCACTACTGACCTCCACTCATTGCCCAGGAGCAGGGTCCTTCTCCATCTAGTAGACATGTGCCCCTTACTAAGAAGGGTGGTACACTGGGGACCCCAGCTAATTCCTTAACACTCAGGGACTACTTAAGACCTACATATCCAAGGGGCGCCTGGGTGGCTTAGTCGGTTAAGCGTCCGACTTTCACTTAGGTCATGATCTCACGGTTCGTGGGTTCAAGCCCCGCGTCAGGCTCTGTGCTGACTGCCAGCTCAGAGCCTGGAGCCTGTTTCAGTCTGTGACTCCCTCTCTCTCTGACCCTCCCCTGCTCATGCTGTCTCTCTCTCTCTCCTAGAAATAAAAACATTAAAAAAAATTAAAAAAAAAAAGACCTACATATCCAAGAAATTCTTTCTAATATTCCTTTTAGAGTATCTGCTTTTCAAATTTCACAGGCTGAAGCAGGGGGAAGCCCTGAGTCTCAGAGGTGGGACACTGAGCTGCCAAACAGAAGGAAGGGCTCTGTTGAATACCTGTGAGGATTTCAGAAAAGGGCCCTGGGTTTGAATCCTGACTTGGCCATTCACTAGCTATCTGAGAAATTTGAGAAAATTACGTCTCCGGGAGCTTCGGCTTCAACTTATTAAGTATTATCAGCATATCATTACTATGTGATTGTGTGCACAGTAATTAGGTCAGGGAATACATCTGGCACAGGTAACGCAGTGCTTTTGTTTAAAAGTCAGAATAACCAGAGATTAAGGAAGCAGTTGGAGGGTGGCATAGCTACCCAACATGTCAGAACTCACCTTTCCATGAAAGTGACTCCATTAAGTGACTCCATGGGGCATCCTGATGAGGATACTCATTAGCCAGGAAGGGGTCAAACTCTGCTTTCAGAGGAAGGGCAACTTCTATCCATTTTCCTCAAGGAAGGGTCTTAACCATTGAGGCTCCCACAAGCTTAGAGCCATTTGTCTCTCCCTTGGAAGAAGTGGTGACATGACAGGAGGGATCTCTTTCAGAACCACCTGACATAGTTGTCAGCCACACAGTAACTGTGCAACGGTGGTATCTTCTTCCCCTGAAGACCTCTCTGCGCAAGAGGGCGGAGCTGTGTGCCCAGGCTGGGTGGGCATGCTCCTACCTGGAACAGAGATGAGGCTACAGTAACCGTAGAAGGGCCATCCCAGGGGCCATCTCCCTCTAACTTCAAGTCAGGGCAGAAGTTCAGGGGCTGGTCTCAGGAAAGCGCTTCTTTTACTTAGCTGAATATCCCAAAATATAACAGGTTTTAAAGCAGCGATCAAGACATATTTGCTTGCACAGTGGGGGTGGGAGGGTGGGGCAGAGGAGGGATGAGAGTAAATCTCTAAAAAAGAAAGGCACAGCACCCAGGTTCTAATTCTTTACTTTAATGCCATGTGAGGGTACTGAGGCTCCATGCACCAAAGCGCTCACAGACAGGGAGTGAACAAACATAGGAAATGTTATACCATGTACACAAACCCGACATCGCACGGAAGGGAGACAATGGACCCAGGTGACCCCCCCATACTCCAGAGACAACCTGTTCCTATACCCAATCTTTGTTCCCTCCTCCTCAGCCTCTGCCGACCCACCCTTCTCCCGATTCACATTTGTATACATGTATGTTTCTTCCAGAATTCCAAAAAGTGCCTCTCCCACCCCAGTCCCTCACACTCCCGCTTCTGCTGAATAGAAGCCTCCCTCTTTTAAGGATCACAAGGCAGACACTATCTTCATGAAAGAGCCCCAGCAAAATGGTACCCAAGCAAGCTTAATCACTTAGAATCAAATAGGGACAGAAGATATGCAAAAGGATATTTGAAATTCTAACTGGGATCAGTGTGAGTAGTTTTTGTTTTGTTGTTGCTGTCGTTTGTCTTAACCTCTTCAAAATCCAGCTTAGACCAAGAGTGCATGCTGAGGCTCACCCCACTTTGTGGCCTGCAAATGCCATTCTTCCTAGTCTTCCAACAAGCGACTCAGAACAGGAAGATACTGTCACCTGACCAGCCTGAGGCACACAGTTCAGACAGCTCCCAGAATATCCTCAGCCCCAGGAAGAAAGAATAGAAACTTTTCAGAGCTTACAGTTGACTCCTTTCCACGTGATAAGCACTGGACAGCCTTGTGAATTAACCAAGGGTAGAATAAGGGTGGTAGCAAGTCTTCTATTTCTTCTAGTTAGAGTATTACCCAAAGAATTCCCCCTTCTGGGATGGTGTGATGTGTTCCATTGTCGTTTTGTGTCAACCTTTTTTGTTGTCATTAATTAACTTTTTCATTTTTATTGAATATTGTTGTGGCTCCTATTGTACCATACAATCCTGTGTCCTAAAGCTTTCACCTTCCCAACCAGTGAGCATGACACCTGGCAGCAAAGGTGCCCACAAGTCAAACGCCACATAAGCTCCAAAGGCAGGCCCTTTGCTTTGACCCATCAACATTATGCACAAGAATGCTAAGAAAATATACCCCCTTCTGATCAGGAAAAAGTGTTCATCCTTTGGGGCCCTCCATCCTAATCCAATCCTTCTTATGCTTTAAACTTGACCAGTTGGAGATGAGAAAGGATACAACTGGGAGAAGTCTCTTCCTCAGATATGACCTGTATTTGGAAGCCAGTACCACAAACCGCCACAATCAAAAAGCACTTTTCAGCCTGGCGTTGGCTTCTCATCAGAGAATGGCCAAACTGGGCCACTGAAATCTTTTACTTCAAAGAGCTCTAAGCCGGCTGCCAGTATCCCTGCGCTGCCTGGTCTACTGGCCCGGTGCCTTGTCTCCCCCACAACGGCACAGAACACGGCACTGTGAGAACAACACAGGGGCAGAGCGGATCCAAAGGGGTGTCTCTAGCAAGAGGCACAGGGACAGTGTCCTTATGCAGCATCCCTGTAGCCCCCCGCTTGTCTTCAGGACCTGTTTTTGAGCAAAGCCAATCACTCAATCTTCTGTGTATGGACTTGAAACAACCAAGTACTGTGACGCTCTGTGACAAGGGTGGGAGAAAGAAGCGGCCAAGGCCAGACTCTGGAAAGCACTGGGATTAATCATCTGCTTTCTACTCACACTGCCTTTCTCCTGAATAGCCTGCCTCAGTGTCTGCCTAAAAATGAATCTATATTAGGCAGTAATACCAACTGAAGCAACTTAAATGAGACACTTCTGTTCGAACGAGACAAGAGGCGTGCTGGTGGGCTACGTTTCAAGCAGGGACATCAGAAAAGTGTCCAGGACTCCAGAAAAGTGAAGATTCGTCTATGGCTGAGAACAACAGAGAGAATGCATATCTCGGAACCTGAACAACTGACTGTACGTATACTTTCCTCTTAGATCTCATTCTGGTCTGTATAGGGGCGCCTGGGTGGCTTAGTCGGTTAAGCATCCGACTTTCGCTTAGATCATGATCTCGCGGTTCCTGGGTTCGAGCCCCGCGTCGGGCTCTGTGCTGACTGCCAGCTCGGAGCCTGGAGCCTGTTTCAGAGTCTGTGTCTCCCTCTCTCTCTGACCCTCCCCTGCTCACGCTGTCTCTCTCTCTCTCTTAGAAATAAATAAAAATATTAAAAAAAAAAAAAAAAGAATACAGTATAAGAGTGCAAAACCAGGCCCTGGAATCCCTGTTCCCACAGAGGGCCAGGAGGTCGCCGCCCTGTCAAGGAGTTCTGCCAAGGTCCAAGGCTTGGCCTTCTATTCCTCAGAAAGATACAGACATCTTTAGCTACCCCTTCCCTACCTCACCAATCTGCTCTTGTAGGACTGAGACCAATGAGGCTTTCCTCACTCGTTTTTTTCCACATAAGAAATTCTCTACAAAACACCCAGGAACAGTCAAGCACAATCCCAGGGAGAAGTCCTTAGTGCAGCTCAGAAATGTTATGTTCCAATTCCTGGTGCTGCATAGCTCTCCCTTTCGGAGATGCATGTCCGCCTCCTGACTGACTGCCCTAGTCTGCACGTGGAGCAAGAAGGAAATGCAGTGGGAACAGAACCTTGTGGATGTTTTTCTCCCCCAGAAATGTGGATGGTAAAACATGATGGAGGTTTGCTGCTATCTTCCTACAGCTCCCGGTATAGCTGTGCCTCCCACCCAACCCTTTCTTTGCTTCCTCACAACAGACACTCTCCGAGGAGAACATTAGCAGGATGAAGCAATAGGGTTAAAAAAACAGGGGGTTTCTATCTAAGGAGGTTCACCACAAATTGGATGCTAACACATGAAATGGCAGCCAAAGAGCTATTTTGAGCCTCTAGAAAGGATGTTACATTTCAAAGATAACAGAAGATCTATGCAACTTGCCTGCTTGATTCAGGGAAATCTTCAAAAGGAACCTGTGAAATCTGCATTACAGCCCTGAGAAGATAACCCTTCAAGCAAGGAAGGTTGGTGGAAGGTAGGAGAAGCCAAGGCCCTAAAGCAGGGCTGTAAACATTGTGCTTTTCTAAGGCCAACCTGGTACATGGCTTTGGCAACTATGGTTACATCTCCAAAGGGTGGTGAAGAATCTGTTCCAGGAGGAAGAGTCTTTCCACATCCTAAAACAAAGCACGGAACTATCCCTGGGGGAAGAGGCAGAGAAGATGCTTCTTCTTCAGCCAGGGGCTGTGAGGCGGCTACTTGGGTAAATCCCTCATCGTACTGTGTGTTCACACCTATACTCTAGGCATAAGGAAGGGATGCTTGAACAGGTTTGAGGAAGTGATTATGCCTACGACAGTTTGGTAGCGTGGCTCTAAAAAGGGCAGAGACTCTCTTGTGAGATCAAGAGAGTGACAAAACCTCTCTGGACTTTCCGGTCAAGCCCTAGCAAGCCAGACCCCGTAAGCCTCAGGCAAAGACTGCTGTGCCTTGAGGAAAGGTCAGGTGAATCCAGGCACCAGGTCCTTGTGGGCCACAGGCCCTGAGCCTGACCCCGAGGTACAGCTGGGAGAGCTCCGTCCCCTTGGAGCGGTGCCTCAGGACTTGGTCCTCACCTCAGCAGGTCTGGGGCAGTCAGTATCCCTTCCAGGGATCTTACTCCCAGCACCACTAAGGGGAGTGGACGCCCTCCCTGACAGGACTCTGTTCCCTGCCCGGGCTACTCACCACCATGTGATCTTGAACTCATAGATGGGGCGCTTGCAGTAGTAGTGGTTGATGAGGTGCTTGTCACACACCCCGATGCACTGATGGTCCACAGTGAGGCCCTGGGCTGAGAGGTCCGTGACCAGGCAGTGCAGTAGGTCATAAACATCAGCCACAGCCTCCCAGGGCCCAAAAGACACATCCACTTCGCAGTGGTGCTCAAACAGCTGCCCATCACTCTCACTCCGCTCGAAGCGCAGGGAGTTGAGAAGCGGACACTCGTAGGGGGTGATGGGCATCTCCTCCTTGAAGACACAGACCTTGAGCTTGGCAAAACGGGCCTTCCGCTGTACTGCACGCAGCCGGGCAATCTCCACAATCCGCTCCAAATGGTCTATGGGGGTGAACACAGCACCCATCACTGGGACAGGGGTCAGGAGGTCGGGGGGGCGGGGGGCAAGGCAGTGTCAGGGGCACGAAGAGAGAGCCCTAGGGAAGGCATGATCCAACAGGGAAGAGGCAGATCCTGGGGAAGGGACTCCGGGCCTATGAAGGGTGCAAACTTAAAACAGGGGGTCATGGATCTCAAAGGCAAAAGGGAAACCAAAAGGATAGAATGAAGACAATCCTTTTGACATGTGATTTGAGGATGTCACAGGCAAAGTAGGCCCCATTCAACCTGAATCTTCCAAGTCTGATTGGGAGGGGAGGGCAGAAAGGGAAGTAGGAATGTCTCCGGTCTTGAGTAATATAGATGCATCTTGGCCCCGCCTCTTCTGGTGAACACCGAGGCACACATGGGTGCCTTGCAACCCCCCTTTCCCACACCTCGAGCACCCTGAGCAGTTGACCCCTCACCTTTGTAATAAGGCATGAGTCCCAGAAATGCCTGGCGCACCTTCTCCCCCTTCAGAGGCTGCATGTTCTCGAGCTGCTCCAGGAGGGGCCCGATGGCATAGTACTGAGCCTCTTTGTACACAGCCCGTACACGCTCCCGGGGTGGCAGGTCCCCCGAGCGCAGGAAATTCAGCACATCTCTGAGCAGGAAGGAAAGAGGGTTGGTGAGGAGGAGCTCAGGGATCTGGGCAGTGCCACAACGTGGTTAGAGCACAGAGTCTGGAACCAGACTACTAGCTGTGTGACCTTGGAGAGGTGAACTTAACCTCTTTGTGCCTTGATTTTCCCATGTGTAAAATGAGGGAAAATTAAAAAACTACCCTGTAATGGTATGAAGGGATTAAATGAGTTAATAAATAAAAATACCTGGCACAAGGTAAGTCCTCAATAAGCATTAGTAGCTGTTATAATCAGCATCATCATTATTACATTTATAATTATCATTAGGTATAGAATATTTATTTTACTAGGTATTGCTATTATTGGGTATATATAGGAATAATGGAAAGATACACATTCTAGGCTCCTTAAGACATATATATTTAAATTGAGGTATAATTAATATGCAACAAATGTACAAATCTTTTTTTTTCAAATGTACAAATCTTAATTGTATAGTTTGATTATAACCACCACCTAGACCAAGATATAGAACACTTCCATCTCCTTAAAGTTTCCCTCTGCCTCTTCTCATTCGATCCCAGAATTCTTCTATCAACAAAGATTAGCTTTGCCTCATCTTGAAATTCATGTAAGTGGAAGCACACAGTAGCTTCGCTCCTGTGCCTAGCTTCTCTCCTTTGACACAATGTTTCTGAGATTCATCCCCTCTATTGTGTGTAACAGTACCTTGTTTCTTTTTATTGCTAGGTAGAGCAGCATTGGTTGGATCTACTATAACTGATTTACCCATTGATGGACAGTTGAGTTATTTCCAGTTTGGGGCGCTTATGAGTAAAGTTGTGACCAACTTTCCTGTATAAGACTTTCTGTGGACACATGCACCAACTTCTCTTCGCTAAATATTAGGAGAATCGTTCAGTCATAAGGTGAAGTACGTGCTTAACAAAATGGTTGTCGCATTTTAGGTTTCCACTAGCAATGTAGAAGCATTCCTCATTTTTGGTATTTCCTTGCCATTCGTCTTATTCTGTAGCTATATGGACAGCAAATGCTACCCTGAACACCTGGAAAAATTGGTTCTTGGAATGAAATGAAAATCACATGCTGCGTTTTCTTAAAATAAAAATTCAGTTCTTTTAATTCCATCTTCTTCAGATTCTTTGGTGCTAAGAGTAATCAGATCCATCACCAGTTAAGTGTGGGAAGATCTCTTCTGTAAAGAGATGTGAGTAAACCCCAAGATCAAGATGTTGCCTCAATAGTTAGTCTATGACCATGATGTGACAGCAGTTAACACTCACTAAGTATTAATCTGGGTCAGCTACTATTCGTGTGTTATCCCATTTAATCCCTTCAATGACATTTAAGTACCATCTTAGGTCCGTTTTTAAATGAAGTGAAAGAGAGGTTAAAGAATACCCGTACTCAAGGAGCCACAGCCAGCAGAGGCCCAGATGCACACGTGGTTGACTCCACACCCACAGGGGTCCAGACTCTAGTCCAAAGTGCTATTCACCCATCACAGTGGGTGATCGCCCCAGGTGGTGACCCAAGGAGCCTCCCTGGTGGGTGCTAGGGACACATGAGCTGCCCCAGCAGAGAAATGTACCTGATCAAATGCCCTCAGGCCCTATTTTATTTTCTCTGATCTTTAAGCAACTTCATCTGCTGATGATGAATCACAGACCATTGGAGTCTAGCAGCCTGAGGATAAATGCCACAATGTCCTGCTTTCTGCCACACCCTGGCCCGGCTCTGACCCTCTCCAGCTATGGCCACCTGGGCATGGGCACATCAGCCTAGCCAAGCCCTGTTCCTCCTCCCCACAACCCCTTCTCAAGTTAGTCCTCCAGGATCTTAAGCAAACCATGGTCTGCTCTGAAAAACATGACCCCGGGGCAAGGCCCAGCTAAGAGCACTGTGGGAGTTGCCAGCTGGGGCCAGCACTTTCCTCCCCCAAACAGCCTGCAAACAAAAATCTTTTTATAGCTCTGCAGAGCGATGTGACACTTTGTTTTCTCAGCATTGGAGGCAGCTGACAGCCCAATGGGGAAACCCAGATGCTTCAAAGCAAATTGCATGACCCGAGGCTCCTTTCTGAGGATACAAATGACCTTTCTCCCAATCCTACTTGGAGGCCAGCACAGACATGCAGTGGCTGGAGACGTTCTGGCTCCTTAGCTAATTTGCTGAAGGTCAAGAACCATGTCAGTTCTGTAGTCATCTCCAAAGTTAGACTGAAGGGGCAAAGAGCTTCAGCCACATGCTCCGGAAGGACCTGGCCAGGGGTCAGACCAAGGCTCTTTATGTAATGGGCATGGCAGTCCTGTGAGGCAGCTATAATTATTTCTCATTTCACAAGCAAGGAAACTAAAACATAAAGTCTTTAAATTGTTTACGGGTAAGGTGTCAGAAGCCCTCCCTTGGGAAAGGCCATTTTCTTTTTTGAGATTGTGTCTTTCTGGGTTTTAGTGTTAAAATGACAGTCACAGGTGAAGGTGTTTTTTTCCTAAAGGCTTTTCTTGGAAAAATTAAACGATTGCAGTCATATGTTGGCACGTCCTTCACCTTTTCTGTTCATTTGTTCTAAACTATCAAAGATAGTCTGAGAACCACTGTCATATACCATGTCCCTCTCTAAGGGCAATGTGGAGCCCCAGAATATGAATCTGAGGATCTTCCCCATGAAGCTGTCTTGGGGCTCCCCTGCCTATGGGAGGGATCACACCTATTCCACACAGATGACAACTTCCTGGTCTCCAATTTCATCGCATCCAGCCAGTGGGTGTCACCTGGGCTCTCTCTGGCTGTCCGTGTCTCCACCGGGAAAGACACTATGACTATGACTTTTGATCCAATTCAATAAGCATGTTTATTAAATTCCATCAGTACGCTTGCTATTTTCTTTTCTGAGTATTAATGGAAGATACCAAAGCCCCATACCGCAGCCCAGGTCCTACTCACTAGGACCATAAAGTTGGTCATGGAGGGAGAAACATACCCAAAGTGGGTGCCATCCCGGTCAATGAAGTACCGGCCCTCAGCGTCGGTGGGAATGTAATGTCGCCCGCTGAACATGGCCGCCAGCATGGTGTCTTCATAGCGCCGCAGGGTAGACAGGCGTGTGGTGAAGTGAGCCCCTCCAATGTTAAGGGGGACAACCTCAGGAAACTGGAAAGGAACCACCGGCACTTTCAGCCAGGCACTGGAGAATGAGAATGGAGGCTGCTCTGACTGTGCTCTTCTGGGGTCTTACTAGTGCTACCCCATTCAGTCCCCCAAGGATAAAACCCAGGAGTCTTTCTGAATGCTCTTCTCTCTCCTCTCTTTCCCCACACTCATCAGTTGCCAAGTATTACCCACTCCCCCTCCAACAGCCATTAAATCAGGCCTCCACACCCCAATTCTACTATTACTGCTCTAGAGTTCAAGGCCGTCATTGTCTTCCTTTCCACTTCCTGAATTTATCATTTTTATGTCCTTACTCATGCTGTCTTCTCTGTCCAGAATGCTCTTTCCATTCTTCCTCTGTCCATCTAGCAAATGCAGGTGCCCCATATGTGGTGTATGTTGTTCACTGCACAAGGACACCGATCTGAGAGTGATCTGCTAGCCCAGCTGGGTGTACTTCCTTTAATACACACCAAGGCACCATATAGGTGAGCAGCATCCACTCATTCTAAAAGTTTCTCTTCAGGGCCTTTGCATGGCTCAGTCAGTTAGGTAGCTGACTTGATTTCAGCTCAGGTCACCATCCCAGGGTTGTGAGATCGAGCTCCAAGCTGGGCTCCATGCTGAGGCTGGAGCTTGCTTAAGATTCTCTCTCTCCCTCTCCCTCTGCCCCTCCCCAAGTTGTGAGCACATGCGTGCACTCTCTCTTTCTTAAAAAAATAGAGTAAAAGCTTCTCTTTAAGTCTCCCAATTCTGTGAGCATTTCTGCTCTGCTATTCCTCACCTGCACCCGAGACAGAGTTAACTGAACAATCCCTCCATTATGCCTTCACCATGGACCACACTCTCCTCTGCCATATGCCTAGCACGGTACATCGGCAGTTATTGTCCTCTGTCGGCCCACCCTTCTAGACCTCAAGCTTCCTGAGGGCAGGGACAGCATCTTGCTCACTAATCATGAGGCCACCCACAGCAGGGCTCACAGATGTCTGTGGAACCATTCCAGGCAACCACTCCTCATTCTTTATACCTCACCGCTTCTTTCTTAATCTGCAGAGTGACATCAGTCTCCAGTCTAGCTAAGGCTCTGGGGACAAGGGCAGGGGGAGGGACAGGGAATGGTGGTATAGGTTTGCCAGGAGAAGCTCTAGGTTCTCTCTAAAATACTCAGGACCTTTGTATGGGGGGAGTGGAGGGTGGGAATATCTTTCACTGCTTGTGGTTTTAAAGAAATGAAGCCTGTTCTCTCTTTAAAAAAAATTTTTTTTTAATGTCTTATTTATTTCTGAGAGAGACAGTGTGAGCCGGGGAGGGTCAGTGAGAGAGGGAGACACAGAATCTGAAACAGGCTCCAGGTTCTGAGCTAGCTGTCAGCACAGAGCCCGACGCGAGGCTTCAACCCACGAACCTTGAGATCACGACCTGAGCCAAAGTCGGATGCTTAACCAGCTGAGCCACCCAGGCGCCCCGAAGCCAGTTCTCTCTAATTTTCCCACAAACCTCTAGATTGACTGAAATTTTATACCAGTGCATACTTTTCAATATTACAACATCTCTAAGGCGCCAGTGTATATTTATCTAGATACTCCTTTCCCCCAGCTTTCCAGGGTTTTCCCCACACATTTTTTTAAGGTATAGGTGACACACAATGTTACATTGGTTTTGCGTGTGTGACACAGTGATTTGACAAGTGTTTACATGGTATGCTTACAAGTATAGCTACCACCTGTCACCACATATTGCTATTATGATTTCACTGACTGTATTCCTTACGTTGTACTTTTTATCCCTGTGACTTATTCATTCCATTACGGGATGCAAATACCTCCCACTCCCCTTCACCCATTTTGCCCATCCCTCCACCCTCCCTGACCTCTGGCAACCACCAGCTTGTTCTCTGTGTTTATGGGTCTGTGTATGCTTTCTTTTTGTTTGTTTGTTTTGGTTTTTAGATTCCACATGTAAGTAAAATAATATCAACTTTTAAATCCTTTGTGAAATAAAGTAGGATACAAATACCTTAAATCAAAGCTCCCCAGAGCCTAGTGCAGTGCCTGGCACTCAGTAAAGACCCAAATATGCATTAAATGTATGAGGGAATGAATGAATGAGTGAATGAATGAATGAAACAGAAAGGTTATGTACAGTTCTTCTGTGTGTATGAGCTGTTACTCTTCTGCAACCAAAGGGTAGCAAATGCCTTCTACTTACTCTATAGCTCCAAGAAAACTGTTTGATGTGCAGAGCAAGGACTCAAATATTATTTTAGGATAAGAATACTTTACATTTCTGGAGCTTTGTACACCTTTTCCAAGGATATCTCATCCCAATCCAAGTGTTTGCTCCACAGTAGAGCTGAAAAGACTGAGGCACAGAGGAAAAAGCAACCAAAAACAGCTTGGGATCTCACATGGAACCATGTATCTGTGGGAGCCGGCCTAGGTCTCTGCGTCTTGCGCCCTTGCTCTCCAATGCCATTGTTGCTCCCATGGCAGTGCATGGAGAGTAAGCACCACAGTGTTCCTAATGGCTTTCTCCCTCCCCCCCTCCCCCCGACCCCCACCGGACTGCAAAGAGTACTTCTAGAGTTTTGCTCATGGTTATAAGTGTTTCATGATGTCGAGAGGGCACAGGCTTCTAATCCCAGCCCAGCCCTGCCCCTCAGGAGCTGTCCATTCTCCTAGGACTCCCCCAGCATCAGGGGCTCCCACACCCAGCACTACCTCACCTCCTACCTCCTAGTCTCCCTCTTCAGCGCCCACCAGCGCCCCACCTTCCCTCCCCTTTTCCCTTCTCGAGGGACATTTCAGTTCTAAATGTGATACTGTCACACACATCAAGGCCAGTGGGCGCATCACAGCACAGGAGGCAGTGAAGGAAAGCCATGGAGCTGTCAGGTGAGTGTGGACACATCTATTCATTAGCCTGCTTCTTATCTGCACAGAGTCTCTTACCCGACTTTCTGGGCACCTGGAGGTTGGGTGTGGCCAACCAGACACACAATCCAAAGTCCTCTTCGATTTTCTAGAAGACACTCGCATCTCTGGGGGCTCCGAGGTCCCCTTCCCACAGACTACCCTCCCTCTTCTAGTTGATAAGGATGGGACATAGGGGTGGGAGTAAACCAACGTTGCAGTCAGAGAACACTGAAAGAGGGGGGCGTGGGAATGGGGGGGATCAGGTGCCCCCCGGGACGGTAAGACACACCTGTGCGATTTACTGGAGGGTGAGTGGGCTGGAGAGCTCGGTCCTCTGGCGGGTCCCTCAGCCCGACCCCTGACCCCAGCCTCGGCGCTGCTCACACCCCAAGGTCAGCTCTGCTGGGCACCTGCTCCTCCCTCTGCGCCCCTTCCCACGCCCCACCCCCCGGGTACCTCCTGGGGCAGCAGGGGCAGCGCGTGCCCCGCCTGCGTGGCTGTCGGGGTGGCCGGCTCCAGAAAGTCGTCTTCGGCGTCGGAGCTGGACATGGCACCGTCTGGGCGACGGCTGTCTGGCTCCCGCCCCGTGACTACCACCATCCCTCTGGCTCTGGACAGTGGGCGCGGCTTCGGGCGGGCGGGCGGCGGCAGCCCGGGGCACTAGCGCCGAGCAGCGCCTGGCATGACGCGGCGCGGCCGACGGGCGGGCCCCGGGGACGGAGGGCGCAGCGCGCGAGTGCCGGAGGGCGGCCACTCCCTCAGCGACAATCGGGCCGCGGACCACCGCGCGGACCGCAGGGCCACCGGCCTGACCCGGCCGCCTCCCGCTATTGGCCGAGGCTCCTCTTGCTCCGCCCCTGATTGGCAGGAGGCTTGTCCAGTCCAAGAGCAGGCAACGCGTTCGGCCTGCGCCCGAGTGGCCACTGGGAGCCGGACCTGCTTGCCTGCCCTGCTCTGATTGGTCCTCAGGCCAGCGGGCGCGCCCCTTCCACCCGCTCTCCGCCGGGCGCGCAGGGCGGCGCGCGCGACCGCCACCTCTACGCGGACCCTCCTCGTTGGCTCGCTGGGTGGCTCCCGCATTGGAGTTGACGCCTAGTAACTGGAGAGGAGGCAGGGCTCACGAGCTAGTCGTTCTGTCTTCAGAGCAGTGGGTTCTGTGTCTCCTCGAGCGTCGAAGGCTAGGGAAATCCGGGGGGGCCAGGTCACCTTAGTGGAGGCGGCAGGAGGACATCTGCGGATGCGGAGGACGTGGCGGGAGGACGGCTGAGGGCTCTGAGGTTGTGAGAGGAGGAGGGGCAGCCCTGCGGTTGGGGCCGAAACCTGGGTTTCCGGTTGTTCCTGATGGACTCAAACAGGAATCTGAAAAAAACAAGAAACCTCAAAATAAGAGCAACTGAGTTCAGGTAAAAATGACAGTGACGGTCCATCCTCTACGTGGCAGTTCCGCCGCGGGTGGAGGCAGGCCCTACCCAAAGCAGCTGACATACTGTCTGCAGCCTCAGATGCTGTGTCCCCCAGGAGCGGCTGGGTCAGCTCGGGGACACTCCTAGGCATCACGCTCTGAGCAGTTTCAAACCATTTTTATACCCAGTTCCTTATCTCATCCCACAGTTGTGACCGAAAAGTAAATTGAGACCTAGAAGACTGGAACGGCTTCAGAGAGGTCGGCAGTGAGCTAGAGGCCCAGCACCTCCTCTGTCGGACCAGTCACACACTCCCAGGTGGAGAAGGGTTTTCTCCCTTCAGTTGCATCAAAATCACTGGAGGGGGGGAACCTTGTTAATATACAGATTCCCAGGCCTGCCTCCAGGGAACCTGACTTGGTCTGTGCGGAGTGAAGCCCTTAACATGCCCACTCCTAACAAACTCCCAGGTTATCCTGATGCCGCAGGTGCATGGACCACACTAGGAGTCGCACGGCCCTAAAGAGGGGGTCCCTTGAGGCTTTCTCTTATCTATCACGAGTGCTCTAGCCCTTCTCAACCACACACACACACACACACACACACACACACATACACACACGTGTAACAAAATTTCCTCTTCTGTCCTATGCCAATTAGGATGTTTTCAGCTGTAACAGAAACTGCAACCAAAATTGGCTTACATGAGGGTTTTATCATCTTACCCAACAAGAAGTCCGAGCAGATCCTGGGCTGATTCACTCCACACGGAGTTACCAGGACCAGCTTCCTTCCATTTCTCCACCCTCCCAGACGGCCTCTCCTCCCCCCTAGGAATCCATGGGAGAAAACCACGGAACTAAGGGCTATCGGGGAGATAGTTATTCCAACTCCCTGAGGAAAGGCTGTAGAAAGAAAACGAGAAGGGGGCCCCAGAGGCTCAGGAGGGAGGGAAAGCCATGTGTAACCAGTTTTACATTGCATTCTGAACGTGTTGGAGTCTTCATTTCCCATTTCTGCCGAGGCCTTCCTTTAGGAATACAGTTTCACAGCCATTTCTGTTTACACAGTGGAGGGAGGGGGGAGATAGAAGGTCAGCAGCCTGGAATGAGGACTTGCTGAATGGGTAGGAAGGGATTGGAACAGGCGTTCTGGGAAAGCAGGGCAGTTTGCTGGCAGCAGCTACCTCCGCCCAACAGCTCTCATGAAGGCTGCAGGGAAGGGCCAGTGAGCCTTTGAGAGAAGGATGGGAGGAGCGGTACATACTCATGCAGAGGTGAGGGCTGCTCTCAGAACACGGGCTCTGGTTTCACTTCTCCAAGAGTAAACCAAGCAAACAGGCCTGCGATCCTGAGATTAGTCAGTGGATTCTATTCTCCATGTCTCCCTAATGAAAAGAACTTCTAAATGCTGGCAAGTCTCCAGGGTACTGATTCAGCTACTGAATTTTCTCTCCTGATTCTAATTTACTGGGCACATAATTTAACAACCAGAAAGGAAATGAAAACAGAAACAAAAGGATCCATCTTCTTTTCCACATTACCTTTTTAGCTTTAATTTTGGTTTAAATATTTTAGACATGTAAACAATTATAGACAATACTTAGCTCCCTGCTCATGAAATGCAATATCTGGATGTCCCTAAGGGTGCCTCAAATTTACCATGTTCAAGACCTAACTTAGCATCTTCCCACCAAGTGTTTCCATCCTTCCTTATTTCCCCCAATTCTCTCTACTCCTTATTTTTTAAAAATGTTTATTTATTTCGAGAGAGAGAGAGAGAGTGAGCAGAGGAGGGACAGGGAGGGGGTTGGGGGGGAGAGAGAGGGGGAGAGAGAGAGAGAGAGAGAGAGAGGGAGAATCCCAAGCAGGCTCTGCAGCTGTCAGCGCAGAGTTGATGTGGGGCTTGAACCTATGAACTATGAGATCATGACCTGAGCTGAAACCAAGAGTTGGACATTCAACAAACTGAGCCTCCCAGATGCCCCACAACTCCTGTTTCTTATCCACTGGCACAAAGGGAGAAACATCATGACCGAGAGGATGAAGTTGGACAGTTGGCCTTCCCTTGCTCTCCTGGCCTTGAGAAGGAGGTTGTTTGCCAACAGCTTCCCAAGGCACAAAAGCTTTGCTAATGGACCACTTGCTCTCAACCCAGCTCAGCTCTCCCCAAGCCTCTGATGCACCCCATTCATGAACCCCTGCCATTTCTTAGCCTGGACTTCTCTTCCTCTCATCCGCTTGGTAAATGTGGCTGATGTTCAGATTGTCTCCACCTCTTTTCTGATCCCTCTTAAGTGTGACTCACTGAATGCTAGAAGCTTAAAATCTAAAAGCTACTTTCCCCAGAGTACCTTATATCCTGGATTCCACGAATGACCTAACTTTAGCCAAGCAGATCACAGCACTTGAGGCTTGGAGGGGGAAAAGTGAACACTGGGTCGGAGGCCATGATTCTTGCTCTTTCGGGAGGCATGCTTGAATGTGGAAGCGTTTAAAACTTTTCCTTTTTGCTGTGGCTGTAGCAGACTTCCTGGTATCTACCTTCCTGATGTCAAAAAGCAGGATGGGGGCGTCCATTTTGTTGTCTTACTGCTCCCTGTAATATCGGCCAAGTCCAGTAGAATGCATGGCGCACAGTAGGAACTTAGTACTGAAAGGAATCTGAGCTATGATCACATTCAAATTATTACCTCTCCACATATTTTTTCCTCTTGTATTTTATTGGCATTAGTAGTATACAGGGGCATGAATTGCCATTATTAATATCAAAGAGGTGGGGAATTCCAGAATGCCATCACTCTTGACTAGTGGGAAGGAGCTCCCCTCATGTTGTGAGAAGGCCTAGGAGTCTTATCCAGAATGAACATTAAGGGAATGCTCTTTGGTTTGGGGTGCATACTGGTAACCATGGACATCTTCACTGCAAGAGGACATGGGCCCTGAAATGCTCTCACCCCAAGCTCTTTACATGTAGGCTTTTGATGAATTTTATCTTATATTTTCACTCATTACTTAATTATAAAAAAATAACATGTGAAACACACAATAATAACATCTAGAATTCCATGGTGTTTTATGAATGTGGTTTGAGGGCCCAGCGTTGTCCTACCTACTATTGCATATTACTTGTCACCCCTTATGTCTCTAAATGAGGCTGGTTCCAGGCACCTCTGGGAGCACTGTGGTCAAATCCCATGGATGGGTGAGTATTTTGGAGCCACATTCCGAATTCTCTCTCCCACCTCATGCCTAGTTTGTGTGGCATTGTCTTTTTTTTTTTTTCTTTTCATGCTCATTTATTTTGAGGTGGGGGGACAGTTGGGAGGGGCACAGAGAGAGAGGGAGACAGAATCCACAGTCAGGGCAGAGCCCGAATTGGAGCTTGATCTCATGAAGCCTGAGATCATGACCTGAGCTGAAACCAGAGTCGGAATGCTTAATCGACTGAGCCACCAGGTACCCCTGTGTGGCATTTTCATTGGTCTATCATTTTAGGCTTAAGCACTTCTCAGCTTTAATATGCTACCTCAACATGATTCCACCAAATGGAAAAGGAATTTGGCTGGAAATATAATCCCCTGCGCCCTGAGAAAATGCACCCTGTTTCCAAATGTGCCCTTCTCTTGGGGCCTTTCCACCACCATTCCACAGTCTTTGTCTTCCTAGGCATCCCCACCCACTCAGAGACGTTGTGGGATTTGACGCTGGGAAGGGCCTGTTTCTCTGAGGCAGAAAAAGAGTATAACTTGCCATTTGGGGACTTTTTAGCTCTGATAATTATTCTGACATTTGTTTGGAATTGCCAGCTGACAGTCCTTTTGGTTGGCTAGAGGCATTAAGGTGTAGTGAAATATTTAAATATCCTGAGGCAGGATAGGATTGAAATAATCTGTAGAGCAGGGGCTTGCATACTTGCCCTGTAAAGGGACAGGTAGGAAATATTTTCAGCTTAATAGGTCATATAGTCTGTCTCTACTCTACCTGCAGCTGTACAAACAGCCACAGATAAGACATATATGGTAGAAGTAGCCAGATTTGGCTCACTGGCTGTAGTTTGCCAAACCCCATATAAAAGAAATAAATCCATCCTAGTTACACTGTGATCTTCTCAAATGTGCTCCATCTGTGTGTCCTAAAAGCTCACTTCTGCTTCATTTCTGCTTCAACTCTCAGAGGTTCATTTGTGAAGAACAGTCGATAGCCAAGTGTTCAGAGTATTAAGATTACTAACTTTTCATGAGAAGAATTGGATAAATAATGAGACTTACTAGAAAAGAAACTGAAAATCAATGTGAAGTTTAACTAGATGTGTAGCTTTGGGTAAGTCATCGCACTACTCGAGACTCCAGTTTTGTTTTTTTTATCTGTAGGGTTATGGAGTTCTATCTCTTGATTTCTTTTTAAAAACAGT